TCTAAATGTTGCAGGAAACCGGTCCTCAAGGAGTGGAGCTGCCCACCCCTGGTCTAGATGAACAACACTGCTGAGCTGTTTTATTTTTTTTTTTTTCATTTAAGATTCAATTTAAACTTTATCCCCAGATTTGTGACAGTCCCTAAAATTAATTGACAGCGAACAAAGATCTATGTTTGGGGAAGGACAACTTCTGTCTTCTCGTTTAGACTAAGGAAGTTAAGACAGAATTATGTTTTAATGTCACTGAGGCAATGCGTGAGTTGCTGGATTTTTTTTATTTCATGCAAACGGGAAATAGAGCTAGAATTCATCAGCATAATAGTAAAATGAAATGCCATGTTTCCTAAAAACATAACCGAGGGGGAGTAGGTAAAGTGAAAATAAAAGGGGGCCTAGAATGGACCCCTGAGGGACTCCATGTGGAAGATAAGCTATGGAAGACGCAAAGTGGTTCGATTTTACACAGAATTACTGGAAAGGTGGGACCGAAAACCGACTGAGGGTGGCGCCCCTAATGCCCACACAGTGCTTGAGACAAGGCATTAAAATAATGTGATCAACAGTATCAAATGCAGAAGATAAATCCAAAAACAATAAAACAAAAAACTTTTCCGAGTCTTTAGACAATAATACGTAATTTGAAACTCTCAGAAGTGTTCTCTCTTTAGCGAAGGGCTTTAACTCCTGAAACGGTTAAGTGATATGAAGGCTTTCAAGTAAATTATGGTATCCAGTTGACTTATTATATTGTATTTCTGTGCTTTACACCTTGTTCTTGCTCTGTTTGTAAACGTAACCATTTTCAGTATTTACCTTGAAAAGACCACGTATGATATTATGCAATTGTGCAACCAGTTAACAAGGATGTAACAGAGCCAAGCTATTACATACCTGGATATACTGTATATATATTGCTTATTCTTAATGCACCTTTTTCCTCCTTGTTTGCACCTTCTTTAACTTCTATGCCAATATGTGACAAGTGAATTTCTCCGCTGTGAGGTCAATAAAGCTCATCTAATCTAATCTATTCCCAGAGAGTGAAAAGGGGCCCAAAAAACATTCCCAAGAGGGCTAAGATAAGGATGGCATGACAGAACTGGGTTAAAAGCGGTTTTTGGCAGAGCCGGAGTTCCACAGGTGCTCCTCTGTGAAAGTTTGCCAGACAAATATTGACTCATTAATTAGAAAGCAATCACACCAAGAAGCATGCATGTTGCAACAGTGGAGAGGAAAACTCTCTTTGACTGGAAGAAATCAACAGCAGAACCGGGCTCAGTGTGAGGGGCCACCTGCCGAGGCCCACTGGGATTCAAAGAGAAACAGGACAACTGAAAAACAGGCCCTGCTCCAACATCTATAAACAAAGGTGTTGATTGAAGCAGCAGAGCTACTGAGATAAACCAGTCTCCTCAATGCGCAAACTTGATCAGAGCTGCTGACATTCTGAGAGATTTTGCACTTGAAAACAAATTACAACAGAAAAAAACGGTTTCTCTCAACATAATTCAGCAGAGTTTGTGCAGCCCCCACAGACACCACATTTGACCATGTTTATGATCAATAAACTCAATCTCAAAGTTGTAAAAAAATTTTATTATGAGTCTGTTCCATACGATAATTCCCTACTCTCCACAGAGAGCTAAAGCAGGAATGACTATCTGAATGTGATGTAAAATGCTGTTAAACAAAAAACGTTTTTTTAGAGATCATGCTAAGAAATGTAACTTTTTTGGTAAAATTGTACTTCGTTATGAAAATAAATAAGTCCTACATGAACTTTTAATTTGTTTTTGTTTTTTTAAGATACCATAGCCATTATAAAGAATGACATCTTGTTAAACACTGGCATAGAAATGTAACTGAGATCAGCAGCAGGATGGAGGGACCAGATTGAGCTAACAGACAACTGTGACCTATGACCTTTGAGAAAATAAAAGATGGCCTTAAAAGTCAGAGGGGGTAACTCTTGAGAGTCATTCATCTTCATTAATGGAGACTGATGTGGCAAAATGTGTCTGAAGAAGAAAGGACAGGAAACCAACAGCATTATTTACCTCCTCTTTTTAACCCCTTACTGTATACCCACTGACGCACAAAAAGGCCAAACTACTGACCTGTTTCTTTTTACCACTTTTTAATTAAAATCCTGTTGTTTGGCTGGACCAATGATTTCATGGTAGTGACACTATGCTGCTAGGTTACACTGAATGTATTCTTGCTGTTTGGATTTTTTATGTTAATTTATTTTTCAAAAGTTATCATATTACAAACACAAGATAAATAACATTCCTTAGATTTTAATAGATTTAAGAGTGTGAAAGCAAGGGGAGTGAATACAAACTAATTTCACATTTTTCATATAGTTATTTGTAATATATTTGGACATAATGTGGTCTTATTCTCATGATAATATGGAATCTTGTTAGCTGTCACATCAATTAAAACAACATACATTAACATTTGAGACTAAAGTGACAAACTAAAAAAACATGTTTTAAGGGGATATAAGTTTTTCTGGCTGCAGAAGAACCTGATAATGCAATAACAATGTTTAGCACAGCTGAAAGAGCTTTCATCTATGGCAGTATAGGACTTTGATTAGTTGTTTCTTCTTTTTCTTTATTTAAACTGAAATAAATAAATACCCAATGGAGCTGATCAACAAAAAAACAACTTTCCTCAGCTGAACAAAAGGACTGCTGAAAACTTTGCAAGTGAGAAGTGAAATATTTTAAAGTAAAAGGGCAGAGGTCAAATCAAAGTGTTTATCCCCCTGAGAATCTTAATGTGCTTAGCATTTTTAATCACTATCTGTGTATTAGATTACAAAAGCACTGGAGAGAGTTCGGTCTGACCATGATTATATATCAAAGTAAATCAATATTTTTTAAAAAAAGGGTCTCTAAAAACTGAAAAAACAGACAAATATAATACTAAAACTCTAGTATGAAGGAACCTTAAAAAGAATGAATATAAACTGCTCAAAAATAAAGGGCACAATTAAATAATACACCCCAGATCTGAATGAATGAAATATTCTTTCATATTTCATTCTGGACAAAGTTGAATGTGCTGACAAAAAAAAAAAATTAATCATACTAAAAAACATCAATGGAAATCAAATATATTAACCAAGAAGAGGCCTGGATTTGTAGTCACACACCAAATTACTGGCTGATGCAACTTTGATGTAATGTTCTTAAAACAGCTCAAGGTGAGGCTTGTATGATCACCCTTACAGCGCATGGGCATGCTCCTGATGAGCTGGGAACTCCTTGACAGTCTGGGGTGCAACGTGACGTTGGTGAATGGTTCAAGATAAGATGTCCCAGATGTGCTCAACCGGATTCAGGTTGGGGTACAGGCAGGCCAGTCAAAAGCTTCACTGCCTTCATCGTTCAGGAACTGCTGACCACCAGCATATGGTCTCACAAGGAGTCTGAGGATCTCTCGGTTCCTAATGGCAGCCGTAATACTTTTGGCGAGGACTGTGCAGCCCTCCAAAGAAATGCCATCCGACACCATTACTGACCCACTGCCACACTGGTCAGGCTGAAGGATGTTGCAGGCAGCTGATCGCTCTCCACGGTGTCACCAGACTCTGTCACGTTTGTAACGTGCTCAGCGTGAACCTGCATTCCTCTGTGAACAGCACCAGGTGGATAATTAGCCAATCCTGGTGTTCTCTGGCAAATCTCAATCGTCCTGAACAGTGTTGGGTTGTGAGCACGACCCCCATCTGTGAACGATGGGCCCTCATACCATCCTCATGGAGTCAGTTTCTAACCATTAGTGCAGACACATCTATATTTGTGGCTTATTAGAGGTCGTGTATTGCAGGGCTATGACGGATCTCCTCCTGTTTCCCCTTGCAAAAAGGTGGAGGTAGTGATTTTTTTGCTGGTTTGTTGCCCTCCTATGGCCTCCTCCACGTCTCCTGGTGTACTGGCCAGTCTCCTGATAGCGCCTTGAGCATCTGGACACTACGCTGACAGACAGCAAACCTTCCTGCTACAGCTCACATTGATGTGCCCTCCTAGATGAGATGCCCTACCTGAGCCACTTGTGTGGGTTGTAGAGTCCTTCTCATGCTACCATTAGTGTCACAGTACCACTAACATTCAAAAGTGACCAAAACATCAGCCAGAAAGCACAGGCAGGTGTTCTGTGGTCCCTATATGCAGAACCACTCCTTCATTAGGTGTCTAATCATCATTCCACCTGTTGTCTACTCCATTTGCACAAGAGCATGTGAACTCGATTGTCAATCAATATTACATCCTAAATGGAACGTTTTTCACAGAAGATTTTATTGAAATTAAATTGTGTTGTTTACACGTTCCTTTTTTTGAGCAGTGTGGTTTGGGGAGCCTGTTTGTTGGTTTATATGGTTAAAATAAACTGAAAACACTCAACCTCTGACTAAATATTAAATTACTATCACACAAAGAATATTTTCTAATTGCTAGAAAAAGGCTGCAAACCACATCCATTTATGACAGGCGAGGGAGCTAGTGCTGTGATAAGAACTTCAAGAAAATTCATTTTGAAAAACACACCTAATCCTTTAAACAACTGTCAGAACTACTACATGGTAATAAAAGAAAAAAAAAAGCATTCTGCATAAATGCGTAAAGGTAAATATCAAAGATCATCTCAGAAGCTTTAGGAAAAATGGTTGACTTTTTAGATCTGTGATTGTTGGAAGTACTAAGGCTTTATTGGAGCCATTGAAGCTATTTAGTGTCATGTTATGTAAAACGACTCCTTCTTGTAGCCGATTTTATTATGCATTATATACCAAACAAAACATTTATCGCCTATTTTTGTGCATTCATATGCAAATAATTGAACATTTGTTTGAGTTAATTAGACTCCTCAACATGGCTGCAGGGTTTCTTATTTATGAACAATTCTAATTTAATGTGAAGCATGTAGAGAGTTTTATGTTCATTGATATTTTCCGTTTTATTACAACAGCTTCACCATCTTACCATGGTGCTGCTATCCTCGCTGTAGGAGGGCTCGGTATCTGTTGATTGCGGGCTGAGGGCTGAGTCACTGCTACTCCTCACCAGAAGGGGTGTGTCTGAAAAACAAAAGCAAAAAATTGCGAGGCAAATTATTTGTTTGTATTTCAGGGCAAAACTTATATATTAAAAGTTACTTTATTAAACTAGGTACATAGAAAGTAAATAGAAAAAAAGTATATTATAGAACATCTAACATATTTTACTTGGTAATTACTGAATTATTTAGAGGAATGTTCCACGAGTTCAAAAAAAAGAAAGTATAGACAATTTTTTTTCCTTTCTTAACCTCTTTCTAACTACAGCAGTTAGATCAACCTAACAGGCTTCTAAATTTGTATATGTATGTCCTGATGTATAAGTAACATACTGCTCCCACAGTCTCACACTGAATGTTCTGACAGCTGATTCTGCAGAGGTGACAATTTGCGGGAAGTGTGAGAAGTTAATGTATTATCTCCTCACATCCCATCGGCAAACACACTGTTGTTCATGCCTCCAAATGGCCAATAAGTGGCTGATTTGTAGATTTGTGTGCGCAAGTAGGTAACAGATGATAATGGCTCTTTTCTTCACATCTCATCGGCCCTCTGCATAAAATCATCATTTACCATAAACTGATAAATGGAACACACCACGCTGCTGCTTGTGCTGCTGATGGGACTTGGGGGAAGAGGGAAAATGAGAGGAAAGTCAACACTGCAGAAAGCTAAGCAAATAAATAAGATTTAATATGCTGTGGGTTTTATTATGATACGTGTGGTACACTCTGAGAACCCGCCATCCCCCCCTTAAAGGGAGCATCAATCTATAGGTATACATTAGGAACACTGTCATGTACTCGCCTATAGCTCAACTGGGAATAGAATGGCAAAGGTGGCAGTGAGGGTGGAGGGGACTCTATATGGTTAAAGTACTCTGAAGACATACCAAATGATATTTGTAGGGTCATATATTGATCGTGACAAATGGACCCTTGGTGCTCCTAAGAACTACTGGGGGATATGGATTACATCAAACCTTTAATCGATTCATCTCGGCATAGAAAGACAATTACAGGAAGATGGCATGATGGACAATGATAGGCAAAAATGAGAACATTTGTTTCAGGAATTGTTTTTAAGATGACTTTCTTCAATTCTCCTGCCCCTAATTCCCCTAAAAGAGATGCAGATTTGCTATGTATCAGCATCTACTGTTTAAAGACTTCATTTAGAGCTGCCAACTAAATCAGGAAAAAAAAAAAAACAACTTTAGAGAACTTGGACAATAGGAAGATAAATAAAAACTGCAAGCCTTAAATAAAATAAAAAATAAAAACAGTTCTGGGCAGTAAATGTCCAGACATTTAGTGAGAAGTAAAACATTTAGAGTAAGACGGGGATGAAAATTAATAATGAGATTTGAAAAGACAATATTTGACTGTCAGAAAGAGAAATTATGAGGAGCATCTAACAAGCTGTTGAAGATGGAAAGAAAGAGCCAACTGGGACTGAAAGTCCAAACAACAGACAGTTTAAGAGGCCTTTCTATGACCTTCCTTACACTAACACTGTGACAGACTCCAGGGTTCTGTTACAGATACATATCACCCCACATCTTTGCTGATGGGTGATTGTACTGAAACAGACTAAACTTCCCGTCTGAACAATCCAACCAAAACCCTTCTTGTGAGTTAGGAAGGTTGTCATCAGTATTAAACATTAAACCCTTATTCAGTTTAAAAACATTAAGGCTCATATAAATGTGACCATTCAGTCTTTTTCCATAAACAGCAGATCTTTAATCTAAACTAAAGGAAAATAATTATTTATCAACATAGATAAAAAGTAACTTTATAATAATAATGAGGTGAAATAATCTGCTTTGGCTGGCTGTAAGGACACACAGTCCCTGATAAATGTGGTTTCCTCTATTAAACTAAAGTTACATTTGTCCACATCAGAGTGACACTTTCCAGCACTCTCACAAGCACATATACAGTAACACCAGTGAACAAGCGCTTGACTTGAAATAGGACAGAGAACTATGAAAAAAGAGATGGAGAAAACAGTAGAGAGACAGACGGAGTGAGAGAATAAAGGTCATGCAGAAAGGTCTGGTCCAGGTAACACAGAGCAGACATAAACACCAGTTTTTGGTCTAACGCCTGACAGAACACACGCACTTCCTGTCTTCCTATCCTCGTCTAACTCTCTTTGGCCCGCATTTCAATGCCACTGCTTCCAACCTCCTGGCCTCTGCTATCTTGCCTTCATTACTGTCCCACCCATCAAATCTTGACCTTTGGCTGCCTTGGAAATCACAGTTTAACAGTATTACACTGTATAGGAAAAAGGCTCTAAAACTAACCTAGCAGCTAAAATATTTGCATTTTTTGCTGTATTCATATCCTAAATAAAGGCAAAACAAACTCAAGATAGTTGAACAAATTTTACAAAAGCTTTTGTTGTTTTATTTTGCATTAACATAATCAGTCAAATGGACCTACAGTATGAGTTGAAAACAATGGAACTGTTTGAATTCAAATTAGCAGCATATTTCCATTCATTTTGAAGAAGTGCAGGAAGCACCCATGATCAGAGGAACATGACAGAAAAATCACATGGTTGTTCTTAAAAAAAAGTGATTAAGAAAGGATTAACATATGAGATCACAAGAATTTATATTCTAAGGTTTTTTTTTATTACTCCTAAATAAAAAAGATTTATTGTTATATTTTTGTTTTACCCTTATTTTTTTAACATTTTATAGTTTTTTTTTCTTACTTAAAAATATCTATGGCATTTTTTTACAATTGGATTTTCTTTTTTTCAATACCATCTCATCTGATTGCAAATAGTGCTGGAAGGTATGGCCAAAACCAATTTCATGACATATTACCTAATTTGGAATGATAGAGTAGACTTTTGAGATCAATATAAATCAGTGAAAGAATTAAAAAACTTCCAAGAGTGCCCTAAACAGATGGCTGTACAGACTTATGATAATTAGTTTCTACGATGTTTATAAAACTCCTTTAATACAAGATTTAGGAAATTTCTGCCTTTAGCTGCAAGAAGTTGGCATAACAACATTTACTCTTAATGTTGAGATATAACGAATGGTAGACTCCGATCTCTTGAAAAGCTAGACCAGAAGCAATGAAATGTTGATAACTATCAATCCATCCATATATTATATGACACGCTTGTCCCGAGTGGGGTCGCGAGGGGTGCTGGTGCCTATCTCCAGCAGTCAATGGGCGAGAGGCGGGGTACACCCTGGACAGGTCGCCAGTCCATCGCAGGATAACTATCCTAGACACTTTATTTGTTTAATATACTTGCAATAAAAAAAACACATAACAAGACAACACAAACATAAATATCGAAAACTAGAGACAAACTTACTAGATTTGAGGGCTGAAGAATTGACTTCAATCTCTCCTCCTGTGACTGGTTGGAAAACAGAGGGCTCCGCCTGGTGCAGGTCAGGGCTCGGGGTCAGACTCGAGTCAGTCACACCCCTCTGCTGGGCTTCCTGCTCCTCGTATACCGCCATCAGCTGTAAAAACATACATAAAACAGCATTTTATTTCATTATAAGACAGCCTTACCATGAATCTCTCACAAAATAGCTCACAACTCTATTTTCATATATGCTGTCTAAACACTTCCTACATCACAACTCTGAATTTAAAACCAGTGGGAACATGAGTTCATGGAAAACATGCTCCCAGAATAAGATATTTTCATCTATAGTCAAACACTTCAGCTATTTCTATACCTTTAACCCTGACGTAAATTAAAAAGCCTTCTGATTCTAAAGAGCATAAAAATGGTTAAGAAGGTGAGTGTCCACACATCTTCAGTGTTACCTTCTGGATGAGGACGCTATAGAGGACATCTAAGGAGCCCAGCATTGTTGTGATAAAGTTGTCCACCTGGTCCTCACTAGCTACTCGCTCAAATGATGTCTGCTTAGCATGTTTTGAACCTGCAGGCTCTTTACTGTGTTATATAGGGATTCCCTTTCTATTGAGGACTGCAGTGAGTTTCTATTAAGCCCGACTTTGCAGCGGTTGTCACCACAATGTTCGAGGGGCCTCCATACAATTGCTGAATAGAACTGTCTGGGCATGTGTGCGCTCGTAAAGCCACATTTGTGTATGCTGCCCAGCCATGTAGTCACCAAGGATAAAGAGAGAGGTTTCTGGCTGCACCAAGATGTTTGGAAATATTGTTTCACATTGATGCTGTCTCTGGTTTTTGGGCTCCAATCATCCTCAGCTTCTACAATCTTCAACTTGTATTGATTAAGTCACTATATGCGTCCTTTCAGTTCAGCACAGCCTCATGAGGCACAGAGTAGAATAGTATCGAGTTACACAATCTCGCACCTTTCCTGCCATGTTCTCATCCATATCTCACCAGTTATTCTCTCAGATTCTCACACATCCATGTTCTGTCACCCACCCCACTTCCATCTGTCTAACACAGATTCATCGCATTGTGCTCTTCCATGTCTCCTTTTATAACAGACCGCCTCTGACTTTCTGAGCCTTTTTTCTTTCTTTAAACCCACATTTCTTACAGATCACCTTTCAATCTCGAAAACCAGTTTTTCTTTTGTAAATACTCGATTTTATTCCCTCCCTGCTCTTTTCTTGCTTCATTCACAAACGTCTGTCAGAGACAGTATTGGAACATGAACTCTTTCTTCTGTTAAGCAACTAAAATGATTTCTATTGATAAGGATGAGTTAACCCCATCCTCCCTTTTAAGACTTCAGTGAAAGCTGTGAAGTTTTACTCTTTTTCAGAGGAATAGGCATTAAAAAGCAGAACAAAAAAGGGTCACACAGGAAGACTATTAATTTATAAACAGAATATAGTTATTAACAAGCTCAAATACTAGACATAAATTATTTTTACACATTCAAATGTTAAAGTGTTGTTTATATATGTAATTCATCCCCATTATTAAGATAGTGCTAAGTGAAGTTACCTAATTAATAAACAGAGTGTGCTTCTTTTGTTTTAGTATAAACAAAGCGGTTTCCTGAGGGCTTGATAGCAGGGCTACAAAAATTATTGTTTTGCTGATCAATTAATTTGTCCATTACATTTTTGATTAATCGATAAATAATTGAACAGCAAGATTTTTACAGAATACTGACCAATACTGAAGGGAACCTGTTAAGAGTTTGCAAAATACTGGACTGGTGGAGGTCTCCTCTTTAGACTGGAAAATCCCCCTGAACAGCCAGAGAGCTACAATGGATTTGAGGAAAGCAAATAATGTTCCGGTGTTAAAACAAACCAAACTTAAATTCACTTAAGAAAATGCGGCAAAATCCAACCTGGCTGAGAATGAGCTACTTTCTAAATAATAATTAGATAAAAGGAAAAAAAAATTTTTTTAGATGTGCAAAGATAAACCACAAAAGGGATATTCCAGTGGATAATAAGGGATTTACTTTATAAAAATAACATTTTTAACCAGTTAAATGAATATATATTTTATAAATGGCATTAAAGAACGGAAGGGGACTTCTGTTGTAGATCACATAAAAGAATAAATGTATGAGAAATGTGCAGGAAAATCTAAAAGCTCACTATCAAGTCTGTAATAAGGCAGTGATGATAAGAAAGGGTAGACAATCAGATGAGATGGGGCAGAGCTCTGCCTTTGTTACAGCTGCACAGGATTCAAAGACCTGCCACACAAAGTGACAATGCAACTTCAGCATGGGAGGAAGATTATTCTGACAGACAAAAAGGTAACACCGCAAAAAAGTCAAAGCGAGAAAAGAGAAAGAAATGATAAAAGAAGGCGTGAGGGACAAGGAGAGAGAGAATTATAATGACAATAACGAGGGAGAGTGAAAGATAGGCTGTACTGTAAACCCCTCTGCAATGTCAGACACTAAGAGCAAAAAACACTAGCCTAAAAGTAAAAAAGATTGTCTGAGTGTCACTGTGTCAAGAGCTGGAGCGACGATGTGCCCATTTTCTCCAAAATCAAAAGTGACATGCTGTCCGTTCTATCTCTCTAAAATACAGCACATTGGAAAAAAAAAAAAAAAGAACTTTGAAGATCTTTATAGTAGCTTATCTTACGGTTTTAAGCTAAAACATACAGTGAATGTAATGCTCTTCTTGTACAATAAAAGTAGATTTATCTGTAATGCGCTCATAAACTGGCTCGGGTCACTGGGATATATGAAAGCTAGATCAAATGCGCTCATCTGACCAACAACTAATGGACCTATGTCTGCCTGAAAGCTCACACTTTCATTACCAGGTGATAAAGTAGTGTGACATCATCCGTGAGGGTTGCAGATAATGTCACAGTGCATTTGATGGTGTTACCTCACAAAAGGGATATGTTAGGCTTTTCTCTAACCTTAACCTCTTCAAGGGGAGAAGAGCTTTAAAGTAACACCGCCCCTAACTGAGGTAGATCACAATAAGAGAAAACAATCACTTGTGCTGCTGGGTGAGCATTCACAAAGATGACAGAAAAGAAAAGTATTTGTTAGAACAGACATAGGCTGACAGAGTATACAATGGTGTTGTGGTATCAATTTTATTTTCAGTAGCATTTGTAACCATAAGTCATTTTAAAGAAAATGTGACTGCACTCTCAGCAAATCTGTCAACACCAGTGCTGACTAAAGATGAAGAGCTCTGAAATTCTGTTATTATTTTCCTCCTTTTTTTCCAGTTTCAGCCTTCTGACAAATCACAAGCTTTACTTTAATCATGCTACTGACAAGTTAATGCAGAAATGCTTCTATCAACTCAGGGGGGGCTATCAGACATGCTATTTGTGTGTTTCAAGGCAAATAGGGGGTACTACTAAGAAAGTGTTGAATAATGATTGGGAAAAGAAGGACAGTAAGAACAGTTACAGCACCGTAAAGTTATGAAAATCTAGAGCTCGAGAGCTTATTTAACAACTTTTGCGTCCTAGAGCCACAAAGTAGCGTTTGTGCAGATCCCTCCTCCAAGCTGCTTCTAGACTTTATAATCATTGCTGCTACCAACCTAAATGTTTTTTAACCTGCTACTTGCGTCAGTAGTCCTTGATCTGATCTATGCTGTTTACACAGCATGTCAATTATGAAAGCTGTAGGCAGATCCTGATAACTAACAAAGTTAGCAGCAACCATCAGGTAACTGCAGATGTGACACAAAGGCGTTGTAATTCTAGATATATACAGTTCTTTTGGGACGTAATGAACAACAACCAAAACACAGCTCCACTGCAGCTGCAATAGTGACAGTTACTGTATGATTATAGAAAACTGTTTTCTTATTGTGAGCCCTCCTCCCACACTGTGATTGGCTCAGTTGGTTTTAGACAAGAGCGTGTTGAGCCTAACCCGACTGACTTATTCCCCCGTGAAAGCCAGTCTGACTGGCCAAGCTAGATCTGATCCAGAATGATTTGCATGTTCCTAATCCATTAAATATGTGTTAATGACATTTTTAACACTTTTGATCAATGCTAATACTTTTTCTCTCTTTTAATTTTTTTTTACTGAATGTCTTTTTTTTAAAACAACTTTACATTAGTTTTCCTAAGATGTCCTTTTTCCTCTTCTGTTGGAAAGCTTACCTTTTCAAGTTTGTCCTTTTCATGTATTTAGTCTTGTGTCTTCTGTCTACTCCTTTTTGTCACACTTGAAATGAATTTCTGTAGTGTTTCTATTCCATTTTCATTTCTGATGGTTAAAGATCATACCCATCGCTGCTAAGGAACTGGGCTTCTTGGGGTTTGGGCTCCGGGTCCTCTCATCGGTCCTTCTCTTGTGGGTGTGACCATCCTTATGTCTCCAGTGTCCCAGTGATCTGGGTGGCCACTGGATATCTGGACCCTGTAGGGTGAGTCTGAGGCCACCCACACCTGCTATTAAGCATATTTTCTTTCTGAAAAAGCTTTGTAAATCTTTTATACACGAGCACGTCCATACATGGATGTTGGCCCACGTTTTCAGAGATACACACTAATGCTAAATACTAAGCTACATATAACTAAGATATATATACCACACTGAATAATACTGTGTAATTAGCATAGGTTTTGCCTTCCACAAACATGTATTTCTAAGGGATACTCACTGTACTTGAAGCTTTTTTTAATATTTGCTTTGGTTGTCTGTTGTCTTCTTTTTGGTGATGTTATGTTCCCTGTTTTCTGTTCCTCTCATCTCATACAGGTGTGGAAGCAGACTTCTAGGAGTTACCGTATATCTTTTGTCTTGTCTATTTTTGCTGTTTTGTTGTATATCTTTTTTCATGCACTCTTTCCTGTCTCTATCTCTTTCTCTCTGCCCTTAGTTCTTATACCATCTTTTTTTCCACCTCCCTGTCCGTCTTCGTATATGTTGTATAAGATTTTACTCCCTAAATAATTTTCAATAAAGTGTCATATAAAATTATCAAGCTGAACCTTATGGCAGCACAGACATCTAATCAAAGATCCATATTGGCAAAACAGGGAAACCAAAAAAAAAATATAAATATTCGCTTTGTGAGAACCTATTTCAAAAATTTG